TAAACCCTAAGCCCTTAAGCCCTTAAACCCTTAAACCCTAAACCGTTTGGCCCAGGCTTGGTCCCCAACATGATCAGCTACAATGCCGTCTTGGCTGCTGTCCCAGAGTCCGAGCCACTCCGCCGTGCTAGGGTTTAAGGGTTTAGGGTTTAGGGTTTAGGGTTTAGGGTTTAGGGTAGGATTCGTTTTTAGGCTTCGGGGCTTATAAGGGTTGAGGGTTTAGGATTCGATTTTTAGGCTTTGGGGCTTATAAGGGCTTGGGGTTTTAGTCTACGGCTATGTGCTAGGATTTGATTCTCATTTCTTAGGATTTAGGGGTTTTTAGTTTTTTTGTCTACAGCTTAGGGTCCAAAGCTTGGCAAGCAATGGGTCGACCACGGACAGCTGTATTCTAGGGTTTAGGGTTTAGGGTTTAGGGTTTAAGGCGGGGGGGGGGGGTGCGTTACCGTAAAGCGTGGGGACCGTAGATGATACTGTTACCCGTCACGCCGGGCCAAATTCAAGGTCGGCTCAGGGCCGGGTAGTTGCACCCAGTCATCTTGCCAACCGCAATATAAAGGTCTACATATATAATTCCCCATACTAGTCGGGGATTCCTTATTGTGACTATAGTACAATCTAAAATTTCCGAGAATAGGGGACCCTAATATAGTACCCTAAATAATAAGATCCTTATTATAAGGACCCCAAAATAAGGTACCCCCTTATTTTCGGAAACTCCCATCTACTCCAAAACCCTATTCTAGTCATTCAGGCTGCTATCTGAGACATTTTTGGTGCCAAGGCTTGAGAGCTTATAGGGCTCAGAGCCCTAAACCCCGTGGCGCCCATCCCAAGATCCCCAAAGCCTGACATAGGAGCCCTGTGAGCCTTCATAAAGGCCCTAGGTTTGGATGTTTTGGGCTTTTGTTGGGTTAGGGTTTAGGAAGCTTTTTATCCCCTTACAAAGCCCCTGGGTTTACAATTTAGGGTTTATAGGGTTTAGGGTTTAGGGTATGTGATTCCGTAAAGCGCCTTTATGGATAGGAACCCTGTTGGCCTCCTGAGTCTAAGGTAGAACCCATGGGCCCCTAGTATGGGCCCTTAACCCTGGGACCCTAATATACCTACTATATACCCTATATATATATATATATACACCCTTAAGGGACCCTAGAATCC